TTCACACTGGACTCAGGTGCTTCCCGCTGTTTCTTTCGCGACCGCACTGCCCTCGAGCAGCTCCCTAGGCCGGTTGCTGTCTCCCTGGCTGACCCCTCCGGGGGTCCGGTCCTCGCGACCTCCACCACTGCCCTCCCTTGTCCTGCTGTCCCGTCCGGCACACTGTCGGGCCTTTACCTCCCCTCGTTCTCTACGAACTTGGTGGCGGGTTCTGCGCTCCAGGACGCGGGTGTTCACCAGTTCACCCCTGCCTACGAGCGTGTGACACACTGCACGTGTGCCCACACGGGTCGACACCTGGCTACCTTCACTCGGCAGCCGGGGTCGGACTTGTACACACTGACCACTGAGTCCCCTCAGGTAGCGGCGTCTGCGTCTGCGTCAGGTCAGTTGTCCGCCCCCTGCTCGTGTCGCACCCTGTCGCACCGGACGGTCCTCTGGCACCACCGCCTTGGGCACCCTTCGATGCAGCGCCTTCGTGGCATGCACTCTCGTTTCCTTGTCTCTGGTCTCCCCAGGTCACTGCCTCCCCTGCCACCGTCCCCTGCCCCTCCTTGCCTTCCCTGTGTCGAGGGGCGGCAGCGTGCCACTCCTCACTCCTCTAAGTTCCCCCCGACGGAGGCTCCTCTGCATACCCTTCACATGGACGTGTGGGGCCCAGCCCGCGTCCGTGGACAGGGCGGAGAGCGCTACTTCCTGCTGGTAGTTGACGACTACACGCGTTACACCCTTGCGCACCAAGGGAGAGGTCCCTACTATCTTGATCCCTTGGATCCGCGCTACTCGTCTCCAGCTGGAGAGGCACTTTCGCACGGACCTTCCCGTCCTGTGACTGCACTCTGACAGAGGTGGTGAGTTTTCCTCCGGCCTCTTGGAGGCCTTCTGTCAGGGGGGGGGCATTGAGCAGACGTTCACGCTTCCGGCCTCTCCTCAGCAGAATGGGGTTGCTGAGCGCCGCATTGGCTTGGTCATGGAGGTCGCTCATACCTCCTTGATCCATGCGGCTGCCCCCCATTTTCTGTGGCCGTTTGCGGTCCGGTACGCCGCGCATCAGCTCAACCTCTGGCCCCGTGTCTCCGTTCCGGAGACCTCGCCGACACTGCGTTGGACGGGAGCGGTTGGCGATGCGTCTGTGTTCCGTGTCTGGGGATCTCGTGCCTTTGTCCGCGATACGTCCGCGGACAAGCTCTCCTCCCGTGCCGTTCCTTGTGTCTTCCTGGGCTTTGTCCCTGACGCGCCTGGCTGGCAGTTTTACCACCCCACCTTGCGCCGTGTCTTCCCCTCTCAGGACGTCACGTTTGACGAGTCGGTCCCCTTTTACCGTCTCTTCCCCTACCGCACTGCCCCGCTCCCCCCTCCGCCGCTCTTCCTCACGCCAGGTGCTGCTTCGGTAGACCCCCTGCCTCCCCAGGGTCCTGCTCCCTCAGGTGTTTCCCAGGTAGACCCGGTCGAGCCAGTCGAGGTAGCTGTCGACTCTGGTCCTGCGCGAGGTACTGAGCGTGCTGAGCCTGGGCGTGCTGAGCCTGGTGGTGCTGGGTCTGGGGGTACTGCGACTGGGGGTGCTGAGCCTGGGGGTGCGGAGACTGGGGTGCTGAGCCTGGGGGTGCGGAGACTGCGGGTGCTGAGCCTGGGGGTGCTGAGACTGGGGGTGTTGTCCCTGGGGGTGCTGAGTCTGGAGGTCCTGAGCCTGGGGGTGCTGCGCCTGGGGGCGTTCTCTCTTCCCAGCAGCTGCGTGAGTGGTACTCTTGGTACTGTCGCCGCCGCCGTGGTGCTGTGGGAGCTGGAGGTGCTACTGGAGCTGGAGCTGAGGGCGCTGAGCCTACTGGAGTTGGTGTTGCTGCTGACCCTCGGGTTGGCGCTGGAGGTGCTGGAGCCACTGGTCCTGGAGGTGCTCGTACTGGCGGTACTGGAGCTGCTGGGACTGGGGGTGCTACTGGAGCTGCTGGAGCTGGTCCTGCTGGAGGTGCTGCTGGTGCTGCTGGAGGTACTCGAGCTGCTGGAGCTGCTGGTGGTGCTGCTGGTACTGGGGCTGGTGCTGCTGGAGGTACTGGTGCTGCTGGAGGTGCTGCTAGTGCTGGTCCTGCTCGAGGTGTTGCTGGTGCTGCTGGAGGTACTGGAGCTGCTGGCGGTGCTGAGCGAGTTGGAGCTGCTGCTGGAGGTTCTGGTGCTGTCTCTGCTGGTTCTGGGGGCACTTCACGGCCACAGCCGTACTTCGTTCCCCTCCTTCAGCAGGTTCTTGGTCAGCCGCCTCCTCCTTGTCGTGCTCCCTCCTTAGAGTGTCCTCCGCCTGTCCAGTCTGTCAAACTCATATGCTATAGTCTGTGTAGGCTGTAGTGGGGTAGACAATATGGGGTACAACACTTTTAGGTTTTCCTACTTGTACCCACCTGCTTGCTAGTTCACTCATCCCTCGTTCTTTCACACAGTCGCTGTCACAGCTACCGCCTGCCTCGCCACTCCCTGGTCCTTCTCCCTACACTGGTCCAACAGGCGGTCTTACGGAGCGTCGTGAGCCTGAGTCTCGTCCTGTGTCGCCTGAGTCTCGGTCTGCGTCACCTGTTCGTGCTGCTCGCACTGGTCGTCGTGTCCCGCGTCAGCGTCCTCCTGCTGTCCCAGGCACTCACCAGATGGCGCTTCGTCCTTCCACTGCTCCACAGCATGTCCCGCTGCCTTCTCCTCCTGCGTCCTCTCTACCTACCCTTGCTGACCCGGAGTCTGACTCTCTTCATGCTGCTAGTCCTACTGTCACGTGTCTCCTGGCCACTGCTGTCACTGACCCTTCCTTCGAGTCACCTGCTGCGTCTGCCTTAGTTGCTGAGCTTGTCGACTTTCCTGCTCGCTGTCGTCTAGACTACGCTGCGAGTCTTGTTACTGAGTCTGAGTCTGAGTCTGTCTGTCCTCCGTCCGTCGGGGGTGAGTGTGCTCTTGGCACGGACGTCCTTGAGGACAGGCAGGAGGAGTTTGAGTGCTTTGCTGCCGCTGTACCTCATCTCGTGTCCATGCTGATTGCACCTGAGGGAGACCCGGATGCACCAGACATCCCGACCTCGCGCTCTTACGCTGAGGCGATCGCGGGTGAGTACTTCTCTCAGTGGCAGTCAGCCATGGACGCAGAGATGGCATCCTGGAAGTCCACTGGCACTTACGTCGACGAGGTTCCCCCTCCTGGGGCGAACATCGTCAATGGCATGTGGATTTTCAGGGTGAAGCGGCCGCCAGGTTCTCCGCCTGTCTTCAAGGCTCGTTACGTTGCTCGAGGCTTCAGTCAGCGAGAGGGAGTTGACTTCTTCCAGACCTTCTCCCCCACTCCGAAGATGACCACTCTTCGGGTGCTACTGCACGTTGCCGCTCAGCGTGACTACGAGCTTCACTCTCTTGACTTCAGCACAGCTTTCTTGCAGGGCAGCCTGCACAAGGAGATCTGGCTGCGCCGCCCTCCTGGCTTCACTGGGTCGTTCCCTCCTGGTACCCAGTGGAGCCTCCGGCGGCCGGTCTACGGTCTCCGCCAGGCGCCACGTGAGTGGCACGACACACTGAGGACTACACTTGCGGCTCTTGGGTTCGCGCCTTCTACTGCTGACCCGTCGCTGCTTCTGCGCACCGACACTTCGCTGCCGCCGTTCTACATCCTCGTGTACGTCGACGACTTGGTCTTTGCCACTGCTGACACTGAGACTCTCGCCCTAGTGAAGTCGGAGCAGCAGAAGAGACACACGTGCATAGACCTGGGTGATCTGCGCAGCTACCTTGGCTTGCAGATCACCCGGGACAGAGCACGCCGCACCATCACACTGACTCAGTCACACATGGTGCAGCAGGTCCTTCAGCGCTTCGGCTTCACCTGGTCCTCGGCACAGGCCACTCCTCTGGCTACAGGTCACTCGCTCTCAGCTCCACCTTCGGACGAGTCCGTAGAGCCGAGTGGTCCTTACCCAGAGCTAGTTGGCTGTCTCATGTACCTGATGACTTGCACTCGTCCTGACCTCGCGTACCCTCTTGGCCTTCTGGCTCGCTACGTGGCTCCTGGTCGGCACCGAAAGGTGCACATGGATGCTGCTAAGAGGGTACTGCGCTACTTGTGCAGTACATCAGGCATGGGACTCGTGCTTGGAGGGAGGAGCTCAGTTGTCCTCACTGGGCACTCAGACGCTTCTTGGGTTGACGACCAGGCTACGCAGCGGTCGTCACAGGGTTACACCTTCAGCCTTGGCTCTGGTTCAGTTTCTTGGCGTTCTACACGTTCGTCTTCAGTTCTCAGCTCCAGTTGTGAGGCTGAGATCTACGCCACAGCCATGGCTGCACAGGAGTTACGCTGGCTCACCTACCTGCTGACTGACTTGGAAGAGCGGCCTCGTTCTCCTCCAGTGCTGTACGTCGACAACAAGGCTACCATTGCCTTGTGTGAGGAGCACAGACTGGAGCACAGAATGAAGCACATCGCTCTGCGTTACTTCCTGGTTGAGATTTGCAGCAGCGTGGTCAGCTTCGTCTGCGTTACGTGGCCACTCGGGCCAACACTGCTGATATATTCACCAAGGCACTTTAGTCTGGTGATCATCAGCGTTTCTACACTATGCTAGGGCTTGTGCCCACTTTTCCTCACTTGCTGTAGGCTTTGCTTGTACTGTGATCTATATATATATATATATACCTGCATGCTTGCTTTGCTAGGTAGAGATCACTGTGCTGTTTGTGTTGCATATACGCCTCTGCATATGGACTGGCCTTGTGGCCCTTTGCTTGTGCTCAGAGTGTGTGGTGACGTTCTGATCCACCCTGAGCTTGCTTTGCCTTTCTTGACTGGTCTTGTGACCCCTTGCTCTCCCCCACTTTGCCTATGGGGGTGTGTCAAATGTTAAGTCTACTACAGTTTGTTTAGGCTGTAGTGGGGTAGTTACTATGGGGTACAGTAAGTTTAGGGTTTCCTACTTGTACCCAACTCTTTCCTAGTGCAATCACTCTTGTTCAGTCTGACACCATCACCCCGCCCCATTCTCCCTATGTCCATCACCCCGCCCCATTCTCCCTCTTTCCATCACCCCGCCCCGTTCTCCCACTTCCAGCACCCCGCCCCATTCTACCTCTATCCATCACCCCACCCCATTCTCCCTCTTTCCATCACCCCACCCCATTCTCCCTCTTTCCATCACCCCGCCCCATTCTCGCTGTTTCTATCACCCCGCCATATTCTCCCTCTTTCCATCACCCCGCCCAATTCTCCCGCTTTCCATCACCCCACCCCATTTTCCCTCTTTCCATCACCTTGCCCCATTCTCCGTCTTTCCATCAACCCGCCCCATTCTCCCTCTTTCCATCACCCCGCCCCATTCTCCCTCTTTCCATCACCCCACCCCATTCTCCCTTTTTCCATCACCCGCCCAATTCTCCCGATTTCCATCACCCCGCCCCATTCTCTGCTTTCCATCACCCCGCCCCATTCTCTGCTTTCCATCACCCCGCCCCATTCTCCCTCTGTCCATCACCCCACCCCATTCTCCCTCTTTCCATCACCCCTCCTCATTCTACCTTTTTCCATCACCCCGTCCCATTCTCCCTCTTTCCATCACCCCGCCCCAATCTCCCGCTTTCCAGCACCCCGCCCCATTCTCCCGCTTTCCATCACCCCGCCCGATTCTCCCGCTTTCCATCACCCCGCCCCATTCTCCCGCTTTCCATCACCCTGCCCCATTCTCCCTCTTTCCATCACCCCGCCCCATTCTCCCGCTTTCCATCACCCGCCCCATCTTCCCGCTTTACATCACCCCGCCCCATTCTCCCGCTTTCCATCACCCTGCCCCATTCTCCCTCTGTCCATCACCCCGCCCTATTCTCCCTCTTTCCATCACCCCGCCCCATTCTCCCTCATTCCATCACCCCGCCCCATTCTCCCGCTTTCCATCAACCTGCCCCATTCCCCCTCTTTCCATCACCCCGCCCCATTCTCGCTCTTTCCATCACCCCGCCCCATTCCCACTCTTTCCATCACCCCGCCCCATTCTCCCTCTTTCCATAACCCCGCCCCATTCTCCCGCTTTCCATCACCCCACCCCATTCTCCTGCTTTCCATCACCCGCCCCATTCTCCTGCTTTCCACACCCCGCCCCATTCTCCCGCTTTCCATCACCCCGCCCCATTCTCCCGCTTTCCATCACCCCGCCCCATTCTCCCTCTTTCCATCACCCCGCCCCATTCTCCCTCTTTCCATCACCCCGCCCCATTCTCCCGCTTTCCATCACCCCGCCCCATTCTCCCGCTTTCCATCACCCCGCCCCATTCTCCCGCTTTCCATCACCCCGCCCCATTCTCCCTCTTTCCATCACCCCTCCCCATTCTCCGTCTTTCCATCACCCCGCCCCATTCTCCCTCTTTCCATCACCCCGCCCCATTCTCCCTCTTTCCATAACCCCGCCCCATTCTCCCGCTTTCCATCACCCCGCCCCATTCTCCCGCTTTCCGTCACCCCGCCCCATTCTCCCGCTTTCCATCACCCCGCCCCATTCTCCCGCTTTCCATCACCCCGCCCCATTCTCCCTCTTTCCATCACCCCGCCCCATTCTCCCTCTTTCCATCACCCCGCCCCATTCCCACTCTTTCCATCACCTCGCCCCATTCTCCCTCTTTCCATAACCCCGCCAAATTCTCCCGCTTTCCATCACCCCACCCCATTCTCCTGCTTTCCATCACCCCGCCCCATTCTCCCTCTTTCCATTACCCCGCCCCATTCTCCCGCTTTCCATCACCCCGCCCCATTCTCCCTCTTTCCATCACCCCGCCCCATTCCCCCTCTTTCCATCACCCCGCCCCATTCTCCCTCTTTCCATCACCCCGCCCCATTTTCCCTCCTTCCATCACCCCGCCCCATTCTCCCTCTTTCCATAACCCCGCCCCATTCTCCCGCTTTCCATCACCCCGCCCCATTCTCCCGCTTTCCGTCACCCCGCCCCATTCTCCCGCTTTCCATCACCCCGCCCCATTCTCCCGCTTTCCATCACCCCTCCCCATTCTCCCGCTTTCCATCACCCTGCCCCATTCTCCCGCTTTCCACACCCCGCCCCATTCTCCCGCTTTCCATCACCCCGCCCCATTCTCCCGCTTTCCAGCACCCCGCCACATTCTCCTGCTCTCCATCACCCCGCTCCATTCTCCCGCTTTCCATCACCCCGCCCCATTCTCCCGCTTTCCATCACCGTGCCCCATTCTCCCGCTTTCCATCACCCCGTCCCGTCCTCCCGCTTTCCATCACCCGCCCCATTCTCCCTCTTTCCATCACCCCGCCCCATTCTCCCGCTTTCCATCACCCCGCCCCATTCTCCCTCTTTCCATCACCCCGCCCCATTCCCCCTCTTTCCATCACCCCGCCCCATTCTCCCTCTTTCCATCACCCCGCCCCATTTTCCCTCCTTCCATCACCCCGCCCCATTCTACCTCTTTCCATAACCCCGCCCCATTCTCCCGCTTTCCATCACCCCGCCCCATTCTCCCGCTTTCCGTCACCCCGCCCCATTCTCCCGCTTACCATCACCCCGCCCCATTCTCCCGATTTCCATCACCCCTCCCCATTCTCCCGCTTTCCATCACCCTGCCCCATTCTCCCGCTTTCCACACCCCGCCCCATTCTCCCGCTTTCCATCACCCCGCCCCATTCTCCCGCTTTCCAGCACCCCGCCACATTCTCCTGCTCTCCATCACCCCGCTCCATTCTCCCGCTTTCCATCACCCCGCCCCATTCTCCCGCTTTCCATCACCGTGCCCCATTCTCCCGCTTTCCATCACCCCGTCCCGTCCTCCCGCTTTCCATCACCCGCCCCATTCTCCCTCTTTCCATCACCCCATTTCATTTTCCCGCTTTCCATCAACCCGCCCCATTCTCCCGCTTTCCATCACCGTGCCCCATTCTCCCGCTTTCCATCACCCCGTCCCGTCCTCCCGCTTTCCATCACCCGCCCCATTCTCCCTCTTTCCATCACCCCGCCCCATTCTCCCGCTTTCCATCACCCCGCCCCATTCTCCCTCTTTCCATCACCCCGCCCCATTCCCCCTCTTTCCATCACCCCGCCCCATTCTCCCTCTTTCCATCACCCCGCCCCATTTTCCCTCCTTCCATCACCCCGCCCCATTCTACCTCTTTCCATAACCCCGCCCCATTCTCCCGCTTTCCATCACCCCGCCCCATTCTCCCGCTTTCCGTCACCCCGCCCCATTCTCCCGCTTACCATCACCCCGCCCCATTCTCCCGATTTCCATCACCCCTCCCCATTCTCCCGCTTTCCATCACCCTGCCCCATTCTCCCGCTTTCCACACCCCGCCCCATTCTCCCGCTTTCCATCACCCCGCCCCATTCTCCCGCTTTCCAGCACCCCGCCACATTCTCCTGCTCTCCATCACCCCGCTCCATTCTCCCGCTTTCCATCACCCCGCCCCATTCTCCCGCTTTCCATCACCGTGCCCCATTCTCCCGCTTTCCATCACCCCGTCCCGTCCTCCCGCTTTCCATCACCCGCCCCATTCTCCCTCTTTCCATCACCCCATTTCATTTTCCCGCTTTCCATCAACCCGCCCCATTCTCCCGCTTTCCATCACCCCGCCACATTCTCCAGCTTTCCATCACCCCGCTTGATTCTCCTGCTTTCCATCACCCCGGACCATTCTCCCGCTTTCCATCACCCCGCCCAATTCTCGCTCTTTCCATCACCCCGCCCCATTCTCCCTCTTTCCATAACCCCGCCCCATTCTCCTGCTTTCCATCATCCCGCCTCATTCTCTCGCTTTCCGTCACCCCGCCCCATTCTCCCGCTTTCCATCACCCCGCCCCATTCTCCCGCTTTCCATCACCCCTCCCCCTTCTCCCGCTTTCCATCACCCCTCCCCCTTCTCCCTCTGTCCATCACCCCACCCCATTCTCCCTCTTTCCATCACCCCTCCCCATTCTCCGTCTTTCCATCACCCCGCCCCATTCTCCCTCTTTCCATCACCCCGCCCCATTCTCCCGCTTTCCATCACCCCGCCCCATTCTCCCGCTTTCCATCACCCTGCCCCATTCTCCCTCTTTCCATCAACCCGCCCCATTCTCCCGCTTTCCATCACCCGCCCCATTCTCCCGCTTTCCATCACCCCACCCCATCTCCCCGCTTTCCATCACCCCGCCCCATCTCCCCGCTTTCCATCACCCCGCCCCATTCTCCCTCTTTCCATCACCCCGCCCCATTCTCCCGCTTTCCATCACCCCTCCCGCTTTCCATCACCCCGCCCCATTCTCCCTCTTTCCATCACCCCGCCCCATTCTCCTGCTTTCCATCACCCCACCCCATTCTCCCGCTTTCCTTCACCCCGCCCCATTCTCCCTCTTTCCATCACCCCGCCCCATTCTCCCTCTTTCCATCAACCCGCCCCATTCTCCCGCTTTCCATCACCCCGCCCCATTCTCCCGCTTTCCGTCACCCCGCCCAATTCTCCCGCTTTCCATCACCCCGCCCCATTCTCCCTCTTTCCATCACCCCGCCCCATTTTCCCTCTTTCCATCACCCCGCCCCATTCTCCCTCTTTCCATAACCCCGCCCCATTCTCCCGCTTTCCATCACACCGCCCCATTCTCCCTCTTTCCATCACCCCGCCCCATTTTCCCTCTTTCCATCACCCCGCCCCATTCTCCCTCTTTCCATATCCCCGCCCCATTCTCCCGCTTTCCATCACCCCTCCCCATTCTCCCGCTTTCCATCACCCCGCCATATTCTCCCTCTTTCCATCACCCCGCCCCATTCTCCCGCTTTCCATCACCCCACCCCATTCTCCCTCTTTCCATCATCCCACCCCATTCTCCTTCATTCCATCACCCCGCCCCATTCTCCCTCTTTCCATCACCACGCCCCATTCTCCCGCTTTCCATTTCCCCTCCCCATTCTCCCGCTTTCCATCACCCCGCCCCATTCTCCCTCTTTCCATCACCCCGCCCCATTCTCCCGCTTTCCATCACCCCCCCCAATTCTCCCACTTTCCATCACCCCGCCCCATTCTCCCTCTTTCCATCACCCCGCCCCATTTTCCCTCTTTCCATCACCCCGCCCCATTCTCCCTCTTTCCATAACCCCGCCCCATTCTCCCGCTTTCCATCACCCCGCCCCATTCTCCCTCTTTCCATCAACCTGCCCCATTCTTCCGCTTTCCATCACCCCGCCCCATTCTCCCGCTTTCCATCACCCCGCCCCATTCTCCCGCTTTCCATCACCCCGCCCCATTTTCCCTCTTTCCATCACCCCGCCCCATTCTCCCTCTATCCATAACCCCGCCCCATTCTCCCGCTTTCCATCACCCCGCCCCATTCTCCCTCTTTCCATCATCCCGCCCCATTCTCCCGCTTTCCATCACCCCGCCCCATTCTCCCGCTTTCCGTCACCCCGCCCAATTCTCCCGCTTTCCATCACCCCGCCCCATTCTCCCTCTTTCCATCACCCCGGCCCATTTTCCCTCTTTCCATCACCCCGCCCCATTCTCCCTCTCTCCATAACCCCGCCCCATTCTCCCGCTTTCCATCACCCCGCCCCATTCTCCCTCTTTCCATCACCCCGCCCCATTTTCCCTCTTTCCATCACCCCGCCCCATTCTCCCTCTTTCCATAACCCCGCCCCATTCTCCCGCTTTCCATCACCCCTCCCCATTCTCCCGCTTTCCATCACCCCGCCATATTCTCCCTCTTTCCATCACCCCGCCCCATTCTCCTGCTTTCCATCACCCCACCCCATTCTCCCTCTTTCCATCATCCCACCCCATTCTCCTTCATTCCATCACCCCGCCCCATTCTCCCTCTTTCCATCACCACGCCCCATTCTCCCGCTTTCCATCACCCCTCCCCATTCTCCCGCTTTCCATCACCCCGCCCTATTCTCCCTCTTTCCATCACCCCGCCCCATTCTCCCGCTTTCCATCACCCCTCCCCATTCTCCCGCTTTCCATCACCCCGCCATATTCTCCCTCTTTCCATCACCCGCCCCATTCTCCCGCTTTCCATCACCCCGCCCCATTCTCCCTCTTTCCATCATCCCACCCCATTCTCCTTCATTCCATCACCCCGCCCCATTCTCCCCTCTTTCCATCACCACGCCCCATTCTCCCGCTTTCCATTTCCCCTCCCCATTCTCCCGCTTTCCATCACCCCGCCCCATTCTCCCTCTTTCCATCACCCCGCCCCATTCTCCCGCTTTCCATCACCCCGCCCCATTCTCCCTCTTTCCATCAACCTGCCCCATTCTTCCGCTTTCCATCACCCCGCCCCATTCTCCCGCTTTCCATCACCCCGCCCCATTTTCCCTCTTTCCATCACCCCGCCCCATTCTCCCTCTTTCCATCACCCCGCCCCATTCTCTCTCTTTCCATCACCCCACCCCATTCTCCTTCATTCCATCACCCCGCCCCATTCTCCCTCTTTCCATCACCCCTCCCCATTCTCCCGCTTTCCATCACCCCGCCATATTCTCCCTCTTTCCATCACCCGCCCCATTCTCCCGCTTTCCATCACCCCGCCCCATTCTCCCTCTTTCCATCATCCCACCCCATTCTCCTTCATTCCATCACCCCGCCCCATTCTCCCTCTTTCCATCACCACGCCCTATTCTCCCGCTTTCCATTTCCCCTCCCCATTCTCCCGCTTTCCATCACCCCGCCCCATTCTCCCTCTTTCCATCACCCCGCCCCATTCTCCCGCTTTCCATCACCCCGCCCCATTCTCCCTCTTTCCATCAACCTGCCCCATTCTTCCGCCTTTCCATCACCCCGCCCCATTCTCCCGCTTTCCATTACCCCGCCCCATTCTCCCGCTTTCCATCACCCCGCCCCATTTTCCCTCTTTCCATCACCCCCGCCCCATTCTCCCGCTTCCATCACCCGCCCCATTCTCCCTCTTTCCATCATCCCACTCCATTCTCCTTCATTCCATCACCCCGCCCCATTCTCCCTCTTTCCATCACCACGCCCCATTCTCCCGCTTTCCATTTCCCCTCCCCATTCTCCCGCTTTCCATCACCCCGCCCCATTCTCCCTCTTTCCATCACCCCGCCCCATTCTCCCGCTTTCCATCACCCCGCCCCATTCTCCCTCTTTCCATCAAACCGCCCCATTCTTCCGCTTTCCATCACCCCGCCCCATTCTCCCGCTTTCCATCACCCCGCCCCATTCTCCCGCTTTCCATCACCCCGCCCCATTTTCCCTCTTTCCATCACCCCGCCCCATTCTCCCCTCTTTCCATCACCCCGCCCCATTCTCTCTCTTTCCATCACCCCACCCCATTCTCCTTCATTCCATCACCCCGCCCCATTCTCCCTCTTTCCATCACCCCTCCCCATTCTCCCGCTTTCCATCACCCCGCCATATTCTCCCTCTTTCCATCACCCGCCCCATTCTCCCGCTTTCCATCACCCCGCCCCATTCTCCCTCTTTCCATCATCCCACCCCATTCTCCTTCATTCCATCACCCCGCCCCATTCTCCCTCTTTCCATCACCACGCCCCATTCTCCCGCTTTCCATTTCCCCTCCCCATTCTCCCGCTTTCCATCACCCCGCCCCATTCTCCCGCTTTCCGTCACCCCGCCCAATTCTCCCGCTTTCCATCACCCCGCCCCATTCTCCCTCTTTCCATCACCCCGGCCCATTTTCCCTCTTTCCATCACCCCGCCCCATTCTCCCTCTTTCCATAACCCCGCCCCATTCTTCCGCTTTCCATCACCCCGCCCCATTCTCCCTCTTTCCATCATCCCACCCCATTCTCCTTCATTCCATCACCCCGCCCCATTCTCCCTCTTTCCATCACCACGCCCCATTCTCCCGCTTTCCATTTCCCCTCCCCATTCTCCCGCTTTCCATCACCCCGCCCCATTCTCCCTCTTTCCATCACCCCGCCCCATTCTCCCGCTTTCCATCACCCCGCCCCGTTCTCCCTCTTTCCATCAACCTGCCCCATTCTTCCGCTTTCCATCACCCCGCCCCATTCTCCCGCTTTCCATCACCCCGCCCCATTCTCCCGCTTTCCATCACCCCGCCCCATTTTCCCTCTTTCCATCACCCCGCCCCATTTTCCCTCTTTCCATCACCCCTCCCCATTCTCCCGCTTTTCCATCACCCCGCCCTATTCTCCCTCTTTCCATCACCCCGCCCCATTCTCCCGCTTTCCATCACCCCTCCCCATTCTCCCGCTTTCCATCACCCCGCCATATTCTCCCTCTTTCCATCACCCGCCCCATTCTCCCGCTTTCCATCACCCCGCCCCATTCTCCCTCTTTCCATCATCCCACCCCATTCTCCTTCATTCCATCACCCCGCCCCATTCTCCCTCTTTCCATCACCACGCCCCATTCTCCCGCTTTCCATTTCCCTCCCCATTCTCCCGCTTTCCATCACCCCGCCCCATTCTCCCTCTTTCCATCACCCCGCCCCATTCTCCCGCTTTCCATCACCCCGCCCCATTCTCCCTCTTTCCATCAACCTGCCCCATTCTTCCGCTTTCCATCACCCCGCCCCATTCTCCCGCTTTCCATCACCCCGCCCCATTCTCCCGCTTTCCATCACCCCGCCCCATTTTCCCTCTTTCCATCACCCCGCCCCATTCTCCCTCTTTCCATCACCCCGCCCCATTCTCTCTCTTTCCATCACCCCACCCCATTCTCCTTCATTCCATCACCCCGCCCCATTCTCCCTCTTTCCATCACCCCTCCCCATTCTCCCGCTTTCCATCACCCCGCCATATTCTCCCTCTTTCCATCACCCGCCCCATTCTCCCGCTTTCCATCACCCCGCCCCATTCTCCCTCTTTCCATCATCCCACCCCATTCTCCTTCATTCCATCACCCCGCCCCATTCTCCCTCTTTCCATCACCACGCCCCATTCTCCCGCTTTCCATTTCCCCTCCCCATTCTCCCGCTTTCCATCACCCCGCCCCATTCTCCCTCTTTCCATCACCCCGCCCCATTCTCCCGCTTTCCATCACCCCGCCCCATTCTCCCTCTTTCCATCAACCTGCCCCATTCTTCCGCTTTCCATCACCCCGCCCCATTCTCCCGCTTTCCATCACCCCGCCTCATTCTCCCGCTTTCCATCACCCCGCCCCATTTTCCCTCTTTCCATCACCCCGCCCCATTCTCCCGCTTTCCATCACCCCGCCCCATTCTCCCTCTTTCCATCATCCCACCCCATTCTCCTTCATTCCATCACCCCGCCCCATTCTCCCTCTTTCCATCACCACGCCCCATTCTCCCGCTTTCCATTTCCCCTCCCCATTCTCCCGCTTTCCATCACCCCGCCCCATTCTCCCTCTTTCCATCACCCCGCCCCATTCTCCCGCTTTCCATCACCCCACCCAATTCTCCCGCTTTCCATCACCCCGCCCTATTCTCCCTCTTTCCATCACCCCGCCCCATTTTCCCTCTTTCCATCACCCCGCCCCATTCTCCCTCTTTCCATAACCCCGCCCCATTCTCCCGCTTTCCATCACCCCGCCCCATTCTCCCTCTTTCCATCAACCTGCCCCATTCTTCCGCTTTCCATCACCCCGCCCCATTCTCCCGCTTTCCATCACCCCGCCCCATTCTCCCGCTTTCCATCACCCCGCCCCATTTTCCCTCTTTCCATCACCCCGCCCCATTCTCCCTCTTTCCATCACCCCGCCCCATTCTCTCTCTTTCCATCACCCCACGCCATTTTCCCTCTTTCCATCACCCGCCCCATTCTCCCGCTTTCCATCACCCCGCCCCATTCTCCCACTTTCCATCATCCCACCCCATTCTCCTTCATTCCATCACCCCGCCCCATTCTCCCACTTTCCATCACCCCGCCCATTCTCCCGCTTTCCATTTCCCCTCCCCATTCTCCTGCTTTCCATCACCCCGCCCCATTCTCCCTCTTTCCATCACCCCGCCCCATTCTCCCGCTTTCCATCACCCCACCCAATTCTCCCGCTTTCCATCACCCCGCCCCATTCTCCCTCTTTCCATCACCCCGCCCCATTTTCCCTCTTTCCATCACCCCGCCCCATTCTCCCTCTTTCCATAACCCCGCCCCATTCTCCCGCTTTCCATCACCCCGCCCCATTCTCCCTCTTTCCATCAACCTGCCCCATTCTTCCGCTTTCCATCACCCCGCCCCATTCTCCCGCTTTCCATCACCCCGCCCCATTCTCCCGCTTTCCATCACCCCGCCCCATTCTCCCTCTTTCCATCACCCCGCCCCATTCTCCCTCTATCCATAACCCCGCCCCATTCTCCCGCTTTCCATCACCCCGCCCCATTCTCCCTCTTTCCATCAACCCGCCCCATTCTCCCGCTTTCCATCACCCCGCCCCATTCTCCCGCTTTCCGTCACCCCGCCCAATTCTCCCGCTTTCCATCACCCCGGCCCATTTTCCCTCTTTCCATCACCCCGCCCCATTCTCCCTCTTTCCATAACCCCGCCCCATTCTTCCGCTTTCCATCACCCCGCCCCATTCTCCCTCTTTCCATCACCCCGGCCCATTTTCCCTCTTTCCATCACCCCGCCCCATTCTCCCTCTTTCCATAACCCCGCCCCATTCTTCCGCTTTCCATCACCCCGCCCCATTCTCCCTCTTTCCATCACCCCGCCCCATTTTCCCTCTTTCCATCACCCCGCCCCATTCTCCCTCTTTCCATAACCCCGCCCCATTCTCCCGCTTTCCATCACCCCTCCCCATTCTCCCGCTTTCCATCACCCCGCCATATTCTCCCTCTTTCCATCACCCCCGCCCCATTCTCCCGCTTTCCATCACCCCACCCCATTCTCCCTCTTTCCATCATCCCACCCCATTCTCCTTCATTCCATCACCCCGCCCCATTCTCCCTCTTTCCATCACCACGCCCCATTCTCCCGCTTTCCATCACCCCTCCCCATTCTCCCGCTTTCCACACCCCGCCCCATTCTCCCCCTTCCATCACCCCGCCTCATTCTCCCGCTTTCCGTCACCCCGCCACATTCTCCCGCTTTCCATCACCCCGCCCCATTCTCCCGCTTTCCATCACCCCTCCCCCTTCTCCCGCTTTCCATCACCCCTCCCCATTCTCCCGCTTTCCATCACCCCGCCCCATTCTCCCGCTTCCCATCACCACGCCCCATTCTCCCGCTTTCCATCACCCTGCCCCATTCTCCCTCTGTCCATCACCCCGCCCCATTCTCCCTCTTTCCATCACCCCGCCCCATTCTCCCTCTTTCCATAACCCCGCCCCATTCTCCCGCTTTCCATCACCCCGCCCCATTCTCCCGCTTTCCATCACCCCGCCCCATTCTCCCGCTTTTCATCACCCCGCCCCATTCTCCCGCTTTCCATCACCCCGCCCCATTCTCCCGCTTTCCATCACCCCGCCCTATTCTCCCTCTGTCCATCACCCCACCCCATTCTCCCTCTTTCCATCACCCCTCCCCATTCTCCGTCTTTCCATCACCTCGCCCCATTCTCCCTCTTTCCATCACCCCGCCCCATTCTCCCGCTTTCCATCACCCCACACCATTCTCCCGCTTTCCATCACCCCGCCCCCATTCTCCCGCTTTCCATCACCCCGCCCCATTCTCCCTCTTTCCATCACCCCCGCCCCATTCTCCTGCTTTCCATCACCCGCCCCATTCTCCCGCTTTCCATCACCCCGCCACATCTCCCCGCTTTCCATCACCCCGCCCCATTCTCCCTCTGACCATCACCCCGCCCCATTCTCCCTCTTTCCATCACCCCGCCCCATTCTCCCTCTTCCCATCACCCCGCCCCATTCTCCCGCTTTCCATCACCCCGCCCCATTCTCCCGCTTTCCATCACCCCTCCCCATTCTCCCGCTTTCCATCACCCTGCTCCATTCTCCCTCTTTCCATCACCCCGCCCCATTCTCCCGCTTTCCATCACCCCACCCCATTCTCCCGCTTTCCTTCACCCCGCCCCATTCTCCCTCTTTCCATCACCCCGCCCCATTCTCCCTCTTTCCATCAACCCGCCCCATTCTCCCGCTTTCCATCACCCCGCCCCATTCTCCCGCTTTCCGTCACCCCGCCCAATTCTCCCGCTTTCCATCACCCCGCCCCATTCTCCCTCTTTCCATCACCCCGCCCCATTTTCCCTCTTTCCATCACCCCGCCCCATTCTCCCTCTTTCCATAACCCCGCCCCATTCTCCCGCTTTCCATCACCTCGCCCCATTCTCCCTCTTTCCATCACCCCGCCCCATTTTCCCTTTTTCCATCACCCCGCCCCATTCTCCCTCTTTCCATAACCCCACCCCATTTTCCCGCTTTCCATCACCCCTCCCCATTCTCCCGCTTTCCATCACCCCGCCATATTCTCCCTCTTTCCATCACCCGCCCCATTCTCCCGCTTTCCATCACCCCGCCCCATTCTCCCTCTTTCCATCATCCCACCCCATTCTCCTTCATTCCATCACCCCGCCCCATTCTCCCTCTTTCCATCACCCGCCCCATTCTCCCGCTTTCCATCACCCCTCCCCATTCTCCCTCTTCCCCGCCCCATTCTCCCTCTTTCCATCACCCCGCCCCATTCTCCCGCTTTCCATCACCCCGCCCCATTCTCCCTCTTTCCATCAACCTGCCCCATTCTTCCGCTTTCCATCACCCCGCCCCATTCTCCCGCTTTCCATCACCCCGCCCCATTCTCCCGCTTTCCATCACCCCGCCCCATTTTCCCTCTTTCCATCACCCCGCCCCATTCTCCCGCTTTCCATCACCCCGCCCCATTCTCCCCTCTTTCCATCATCCCACCCCATTCTCCTTCATTCCATCACCCCGCCCCATTCTCCCTCTTTCCATCACCACGCCCCATTCTCCCGCTTTCCATTTCCCCTCCCCATTCTCCCGCTTTTCCATCACCCCCGCCCCATTCTCCCTCTTTCCATCACCCGCCCCATTCTCCCGCTTTCCATCACCCCACCCAATTCTCCCCGCTTTCCATCACCCGCCCCATTCTCCCTCTTTCCATCACCCCGCCCCCATTTTCCCTCTTTCCATCACCCCCCGCCCCATTCTCCCTCTTTCCATAACCCCGCCCCCTATTCTCCCGCTTTCCATCACCCCGCCCCATTCTCCCTCTTTCCATCAACCTGCCCCATTCTTCCGCTTTCCATCACCCCGCCCCATTCTCCCGCTTTCCATCACCCCGCCCCATTCTCCCGCTTTCCATCACCCCGCCCCATTTTCCCTCTTTCCATCACCCCGCCCCATTCTCCCTCTTTCCATCACCCCGCCCCGTTCTCTCTCTTTCCATCACCCCACGCCATTTCCCTCTTTCCATCACCCGCCCCATTCTCCCGCTTTCCATCACCCCGCCCCCATTCTCCCACTTTCCATCATCCACCCCAATTCTCCTTCATTCCATCACCCCGCCCCATTCTCCCACTTTCCATTCACACCCGCCCATTCTCCCGCTTTCCATCACCCCCCGCCCCATTCTCCCTACTTTCCATCACCCCGCCCATTCTCCCTCTTTCCATCACCCCCGCCCCATTCTCCCGCTTTCCATCACCCCGCCCATTCTCACCCGCTTTCCATTTCCCCTCCCCATTCTCCTGCTTTCCATCACCCCGCCCCATTCTCCCTCTTTCCATCACCCCGCCCCATTCTCCCGCTTTCCATCACCCCACCCAATTCTCCCGCTTTCCATCACCCCGCCCCATTCTCCCTCTTTCCATCACCCCCGCCCCCATTTTCCCTCTTTCCATCACCCCGCCCCATTCTCCCTCTTTCCATAACCCCGCCCCATTCTCCCCGTCTTTCCATCACCCCGCACCCATTCTCCCTCTTCCATCAACCTGCCCCATTCTTCCGCTCTGCCATCACCCCAGTTCACCCATTCTCCCGCTTTCCATCACCCCGCCCCATTCTCCCGCTTTCCATCACCCCGCCCCATTCTCCCTCTTTCCATCACCCCGCCCCATTCTCCCTCTATCCATAACCCCGCCCCATTCTCCCGCTTTCCATCACCCCTCCCCCTTCTCCCGCTTTCCATCACCCCTCCCCATTCTCCCGCTTTCCATCACCCCGCCCCATTCTCCCGCTTCCCATCACCCCGCCCCATTCTCCCTCTTTCCATAACCCCGCCCTATTCTCCCTCTGTCCATCACCCCGCCCCATTCTCCCTCTTTCCATCACCCCGCCCCATTCTCCCTCTTTCCATAACCCCGCCCCATTCTCCCGCTTTCCATCACCCCGCCCCATTCTCCCGCTTTCCATCACCCCGCCCCATTCTCCCGCTTTTCATCACCCCGCCCCCATTCTCCCGCTTTCCATCACCCCGCCCCATTCTCCGCTTTCCATCACCCCGCCCTATTCTCCCTCTGTCCATCACCCCACCCCATTCTCCCTCTTTCCATCACCCCTCCCCATTCTCCGTCTTTCCATCACCTCGCCCCATTCTCCCTCTTTCCATCACCCCGCCCCATTCTCCCGCTTTCCATCACCCCACACCATTCTCCCGCTTTCCATCACCCCGCCCCATTCTCCCGCTTTCCATCACCCTGCCCCATTCTCCCTCTTTCCATCACCCCGCCCCATTCTCCTGCTTTCCATCACCCGCCCCATTCTCCCGCTTTCCATCACCCCGCCACATCTCCCCGCTTTCCATCACCCCGCCCCATTCTCCCTCTGACCATCACCCCGCCCCATTCTCCCTCTTTCCATCACCCCGCCCCATTCTCCCTCTTCCCATCACCCCGCCCCATTCTCCCGCTTTCCATCACCCCGCCCCATTCTCCCTCTGTCCATCACCCCACCCCATTCTCCCTCTTTCCATCATCCCACCCCATTCTCCCTCATTCCATCATCCCGCCCCATTCTCCCTCTTTCCATCACCACGCCCCATTCTCCCGCTTTCCATCACCCCTCCCCATTCTCCCGCTTTCCATCACCCCGCCCCATTCTCCCTCTTTCCATCACCCCCGCCCCTTCTCCCGCTTTCCATCACCCCACCCCATTCTCCCGCTTTCCTTCACCCCGCCCCATTCTCCCTCTTTCCATCACCCCGCCCCATTCTCCCTCTTTCCATCAACCCGCCCCATTCTCCCGCTTTCCATCACCCCGCCCCATTCTCCCGCTTTCCGTCACCCCGCCCAATTCTCCCGCTTTCCATCACCCCGCCCCATTCTCCCTCTTTCCATCAACCCGCCCCATTTTCCCTCTTTCCATCACCCCGCCCCATTCTCCCTCTTTCCATAACCCCGCCCCATTCTCCCACTTTCCATCACCCTCGCCCCATTCTCCCTCTTTCCATCACCCCGCCCCATTTTCCCTTTTTCCATCACCCCGCCCCATTCTCCCTCTTTCCATAACCCCACCCCATTTTCCCGCTTTCCATCACCCCTCCCCATTCTCCCGCTTTCCATCACCCCGCCATATTCTCCCTCTTTCCATCACCCGCCCCATTCTCCCGCTTTCCATCACCCCGCCCCATTCTCCCTCTTTCCATCATCCCACCCCATTCTCCTTCATTCCATCACCCCACCCCATTCTCCCTCTTTCCATCACCACGCCCCATTCTCCCGCTTTCCATTTCCCCTCCCATTCTCCCGCTTTCCATCACCCCGCCCCATTCTCCCTCTTTCCATCACCCCGCCCCATTCTCCCGCTTTCCATCACCCCGCCCCATTCTCCCTCTTTCCATCAACCTGCCCCATTCTTCCGCTTTCCATCACCCCGCCCCATTCTCCCGCTTTCCATCACCCCGCCCCATTCTCCCGCTTTCCATCACCCCGCCCCATTTTCCCTCTTTCCATCACCCCGCCCCATTCTCCCGCTTTCCATCACCCCGCCCCATTCTCCCTCTTTCCATCATCCCACCCCATTCTCCCTCTTTCCATCACCACGCCCCCATTCTCCCGCTTTCCATTTCCCCTCCCCATTCTCCCGCTTTCCATCACCCCGCCCCATTCTCCCTCTTTCCATCACCCCGCCCCATTCTCCCGCTTTCCATCACCCCACCCAATTCTCCCGCTTTCCATCACCCCGCCCCATTCTCCCTCTTTCCATCACCCCGCCCCCATTTTCCCTCTTTCCATCACCCCGCCCCATTCTCCCTCTTTCCATAACCCCGCCCCATTCTCCCGCTTTCCATAACCCCGCCCCATTCTCCCTCTTTCCATCAACCTGCCCCATTCTTCCGCTTTCCCATCACCCCGCCCCATTCTCCCGCTTTCCCATCACCCCGCCCCATTCTCCCGCTTTCCATCACCCCGCCCCATTTTCCCTCTTTCCATCACCCCGCCCCATTCTCCCTCTTTCCATCACCCCGCCCCATTCTCTCTCTTTCCATCACCCCACGCCATTTTCCCTCTTTCCATCACCCGCCCCATTCTCCCGCTTTCCATCACCCCGCCCCATTCTCCCACTTTCCATCATCCCACCCCCATTCTCCTTCATTCCATCACCCCGCCCCATTCTCCCTCTTTCCATCACCCCGCCCATTCTCCGCTTTCCATTTCCCCCCATTCTCCCGCTTCCATCACCCCGCCCCATTCTCCCTCTTTCCATCACCCCGCCCCATTCTCCCGCTTTCCATCACCCCACCCAATTCTCCCGCTTTCCATCACCCCGCCCCATTCTCCTCTTTCCATCACCCCGCCCCATTTTCCCTCTTTCCATCACCCCGCCCCATTCTCCCTCTTTCCATAACCCGCCCCATTCTCCCGCTTTCCATCACCCCGCCCCATTCTCCCTCTTTCCATCACCTGCCCCATTCTTCCGCTTTCCATCACCCCGCCCCATTCTCCCGCTTTCCATCACCCGCCCCATTTCCCTCTTTCCATCACCCGCCCCATTCTCCCTCTTTCCAAACCCCGCCCCATTCTCCGCTTTCCATCACCCCGCCCCATTCTCCCTCTTTCCATCAACCGCCCCATTCTCCCGCTTTCCATCACCCCGCCCATTCTCCCGCTTTCCATCACCCCGCCCCATTCTCCCGCTTTCCATCACCCCGCCACCATTCTCCCGCTTTCCATCACCCCACACCATTCTCCCGCTTGTCCATACCCGCCCCATTCTCCCTCTTTCCATAACCCCGCCCCATTCTCCCGCTTTCCATCACCTCGCCCCATTCTCCCTCTTTCCATCACCCCGCCCCATTCTCCCTCTTTCCATAACCCCGCCCCCATTCTCCCGCTTTCCATCACCCCGCCCCATTCTCCCTCTTTCCATCAACCTGCCCCATTCTTCCGCTTTCCATCACCCCGCCCCATTCTCCCGCTTTCCATCACCCCCGCCCCATTCTCCCGCTTTCCATCACCCCGCCCCAGTTTCCCTCTTTCCATCACCCCGCCCCATTCTCCATCTATCCATAACCCCGCCCCATTCTCTCCGCTTTCCATCACCCCGCCCCATTCTCCCTCTTTCCATCAACCCGCCCCCATTCTCCCACTTTCCATCACCCCGCCCCATTCTCCCCACTTTCCGTCACCCCCGCCCAATTCTCCGCTTTCCATCACCCCGCCCCAATTCTCCCGCTTTCATCACCCCGCCCCATTCTCCCGCTTTCCATCACCCCACACCATTCTCCCGCTTTCCATCACCCCGCCCCATTCTCCCTCTTTCCATAACCCCGCCCCATTCTCCCGCTTTCCATCACCTCGCCCCATTCTCCCTCTTTCCATCACCCCTCCCCATTCTCCCGCTTTCCATCACCCCGCCCCATCTCCCTCTTTCCATCAACCTGCCCCATTCTTCCGCTTTCCATCACCCCGCCCCATTCTCCCGCTTTCCATCACCCCGCCCCATTCTCCCGCTTTCCATCACCCCGCCCCATTTTCCCTCTTTCCATCACCCCGCCCCATTCTCCCTCTATCCATAACCCCGCCCCATTCTCCCGCTTTCCATCACCCCGCCCCATTCTCCCTCTTTCCATCAACCCGCCCCATTCTCCCGCTTTCCATCACCCCGCCCCATTCTCCCGCTTTCCGTCACCCCGCCCAATTCTCCCGCTTTCCATCACCCCGCCCCATTCTCCCTCTTTTCCATCACCCCGCCCCGTTTTCCCTCTTTCCATCACCCCGCCCCATTCTCCCTCTTTCCATAACCCCGCCCCATTCTCCCGCTTTCCATCACCTCGCCCCATTCTCCCTCTTTCCATCACCCCGCCCCCATTTTCCCTTTTTCATCACCCCGCCCCATTTTCCCTCTTTCCATCACCCCACCCCATTCTCCCGCTTTCCATCACCCCTCCCCATTCTCCCGCTTTCCATCACCCCGCCATATTCTCCCTCTTTCCATCACCCGCCCCATTCTCCCGCTTTCATCACCCCCCCATTCTCCCTCTTTCCATCATCCCACCCCATTCTCCTTCATTCCATCACCCCGCCCCATTCTCCCTCTTTCCATCACCACGCCCCATTCTCCCCGCTTTCCATTTCCCCTCCCCATTCTCCCGCTTTCCATCACCCCGCCCATTCTCCCTCTTTCCATCACCCCGCCCCATTCTCCCGCTTTCATCACCCCGCCCCATTCTCCCTCTTCTATCAACCTGCCCCATTCTCCGCTTTCCATCACCCCGCCCCATTCTCCCGCTTTCCATCACCCCGCCCCATTCTCCCGCTTCCATCACCCCGCCCCATTTTCCCTCTTTCCATCACCCCGCCCCATTCTCCCGCTTTCCATCACCCCGCCCCATTCTCCCTCTTTCCATCATCCCACCCCATTCTCCTTCATTCCATCACCCCGCCCCATTTCCCTCTTTCCATCACCACGCCCCATTCTCCCGCTTTCCATCCCCTCCCCATTCTCCCGCTTTCCATCACCCCGCCCCATTCTCCTCTTCCATCACCCCGCCCCATTCTCCCGCTTTCCATCACCCCACCCAATTCTCCCGCTTTCCATCACCCCGCCCCATTCTCCCGCTTCCATCACCCCGCCCCATTTCCCTCTTTCCATCACCCCGCCCATTCTCCCTCTTTCCATAACCCCGCCCCATTCTCCCGCTTTCCATCACCCCGCCCCATTCTCCCTCTTTCCATCAACCTGCCCCATTC